TTCTCAGTAGCTAACATGAGTGCCTGCACACTTTGGGCTACTTCGAATCAAAAGTAGTGACTGGAGCGTAGAGTTGGGGCCCCCAGGGATTTCCAGAGTTGAAGTTAAGGCAGGAGCTAGATGAGAAAGAGCCTAGTGTTTGGGTAAAGGTATGAAGATGAAACTAAACAAACACTGATGGTATTTTGTTTCTCCTTGGAGAATGAATTGAAGAGGAAATTGAGAAAAGAAGCTCTGTGTACTGGTGCTCCTCTGGCCGAGGCAGGAGGATCGCAAGTTCAATCCCAACCTATGCAACTCAGTAATTTAGGGAGATGCTGTTTCAAAATAGCAAATAAAAAGCTAATGGGGGATGGAGCTCAGTGGTGGAGCGTTGGTAGCTAGACCACGAGTTCCTTCTCTAGTGCCACCAAAAAAAAAAAAAAAAAAAAAAAAAAAGGAAATGGCATTGACCCAGAGTGCCCACCCATCCCCCACTTGACTGTTCACTCAGACTTGTTCGAGGGGCCTTCTGGTGGGGACAGAAGAGACAGGTGCACTACGGGTTTGACAACAGGAGGGCTGTGGAGTGGGTGCGTGGGGTAACTGAGGCAGGGAGGTCTGGGAGGTGGCATTTCGGCAAGTGCTCAATAATGACAAGCTGGGAGGGAAAGCAGAGGGCCACCCTGGGGAAGCGGCAGGTGCCAAGGCCCTCGGGCCTCCACTGTTGTCCTGGGTGCAGCTCCAGCACTGAAACAAGATTTGAAAGACCTTCAGGATCTGACCCAGGCTGCTGATCATCTCAGAGCTGTGGGACTGTGGATGAGCAGCAACCACAGCTCCACTTAGAGGCTGGGAGTGTGGCTGAGTGGTAGGCGGGTGTAGCTGAGTGGTAGGCAGATGCTCAGCTTGCGGGAGGCCAGTGCTGAGTCCCTAGAGCCAAACAAAAAAGAAACAGAAACAGAAATAAAATTAAATTACAGGGGCCGGGGAAATAGCTCAGTAGAATAAGCGCTTGCCTGGCAAGCGCAAGAGCCTGAGTTCAATCCCCAGTTCTGCCAAAATAAATAATAAATAAATAAATAAATAAATAACAAGGGCTGGGTGTGGGGGTGCACTCCTGTAATTCCAGCAATTGGGAGGCTGAGGCAGGAGGATAGCTGTGAGTTTGAGACCAGCCTGGGCTACAAAGTGAGCTCAAGGTCGGCCTGAGCTGCATAGCGGGACCCTGTCTCCAAAAGACAAAAATAAATAACAAAAAAGAAAAAAGAACCCACCATACTTAGACCTGAGTGAAGCAGGGTGTGGTGGCGCACATCTATAATCCCAACATTTGGGAGGCTGAGGCAGGAGGATTGCTGCAGATTTGAGGGCAGCCTGGGCTACACAGGGTGACTGTGTCTCAAAACACAAGAAGAATTGAATGAAGCTGTACAGGAGTGTGTGACATCAAGGGCTGAAACAGAAGCCATGCTGGGGTGGGGCCACACAGGCCAGGGACCTCCCTGGAGCATAGCCCTTCATTCTGCCGTTTCCCAAAGACCTACTAAGCAGTCACCTGCATCTCCCACTTGAGATGTGGGAGAAACAGCGGGCGGCACCCCAGAGAAAATCTGGGCCTCTGGGAGGAGGCCCTGGGTTGTGTCCCCAGCACTGTGACAAACTCATTTATTTAGCAACAAGTTTCCAAAAGAAGGGCTGGTGACATAGCTCAGTGGCACCATATCTGCCTGGCAAGTGTAAAGTCCTGAGTTCAATTCCTGGCACCAACCCACCCCCCCTCCCAAAAAGAGCCAAATACCCAAAAGAAAAATGAATACAGCGAGGCAGGGAGGCAGCTGATGAGCGGCAGGGCGGGAAGAGGCAGCAGGCAGACAGCGGAAGGTGCCATGGCCCTGGGGTCAGCCGCTGCCCGGGTCCTCCCGGCAGGCAGAGGCCCTGGAAGCTGAGGATCAAAGGGGGAAAAGTGGAGGAGAGGAGGCCGCAGGGCGAGTCGGGAGGGCAGAGCCGGGGCCATAGAGCCGGAGGAGGAACTCAAGCATGGGACTGGAAAAAACGGGCCGGAGGAGGAAGGGGAGAGGCTGCAGCCACATCCGGGTCCAGGGCTGCAAGAGATGTGCAGAAAGGGGGTCCTGAGTGAATGGAGAGGCGAGCTTACTCCAAACCGAGCCTGGAAGGGCCAGAGAGACACAGCTGAGAAGGTCCGGGTTACGTTAAGTTCCCTGCACAAAATAGGGGTTAAGTTTTGGGCTTTTTGAGACTGAGTCTCCCTCTGCAGTCCAGGCTGGCTTTGAACTTATAGCAATCCTCCTGATTCAGCCTCCCGGGTGCTAAGATTACAGGTGGGGTTTAAATTAATTACTTCATTTATGGGGGTGCTGGGGTAGAAACCCAGCTTTCTGCAGACCATGCAGTGCACCCTTTACCCCTGCACTGCACTCCCAGCCTTTCTTCGGCTTAAATTTTAGTGATGTGCACGTGTTTTGTGTTTTTCTAATTTTAAAAAATATTGAAAGTGCCAAATCTAAATGACAGAGTTATACATGAGAAAATGGGTATCTTTTATTTTTTTTTAAAATGTATTTGGTACAGGGTCTCACTATGCAGCTGGGACTCATGGTGGTCTTCTGTCTTCAGCCTCCCAGCACAGGGTAGGCGTGCGCCACTTCAGGCGGACTCGGTGGCCCACTCAGAGTGCCTGGGGCGGAGGCCAGTGTGGCATCAGAGCAGGGATCTAAGCTGGCCCTGCGCTTGCCTAAGCTGCTTAGTCCCCTGAGCTATCTCACCAGCCCTGGTTGTCATATTTAATGGCATGAAGTGTTACCCAATGATAGAATTAAAAATAAAGACCAATAAGCTAAAAGCAAAGTTAGAGCTGGGTGAGGCCCTCCACATCTGTACAACGTCCCGAGAACCTGTCTCTTTAATTAAAAAAAAAATTGCACATTTCATAGTTGTGTGGCTGTTCACAGAACACCAGGCCTGGTCTAGATCCCACCCCGCCCCATCCTCCTGTCTCCTCTGGTCTGCGACAGCACTGGTTGGTCCTGTGCACCGCCCCCCACGTGGGACAGTCCGGTAGCCTGCGGCTGTGGGATTGAGGAGGAGCTTGGAGGAGAGCTGGAACATGAAGGAAGCCATGTGTACCCATGTGACACCCGGTGACTGTCCCTTGGACTCGCCCCTTAAGGTGGTGCCTGCCAGGTGTCCTCATGGGACAGTCTGGGTCACTGTCAGAACAGTGCAGGAAGTCTGGGACAGCAATGAAGGCCCCTTGGCTGGGTGCAGGGGTGCACGCCTCTCACCCCAGCACTCCGGGAGGCTGAGGCAGGAGGACCGAAAGTTTCAGAGTTTCCTGGGCTATTTAACAACTGCCTCAAGATGAAAAATAAAAAGGAGTAGGGATGGAATTCAGTGTGAAGGCCTGGGGTTCAACCTCCCAGTTTGAGCCCCCCCTCAAAAAAAAAGAAAAAAAAAAAAAAACAAAAACGGAAAGGAAAGTTCCTGTTTGCTGTTCCTGGGGTGTGTGCGTGCGTGGGTGTGCACTTAAAGTCTTTGAAATTCTAGGGATTGTCTGGCGCTTCTCACAGCCTTCCATCCTGCTGCAGTGCTGGCTGGAGCCCAGGGTCTCCCCAAGCAGGGCAAACGCTCTCCCACTGAGCTGTGCCCTCAGCTCCTCACACACACCTTTTAAAAACATTTGGTTTGAAATTTTTTTTAATTATTTATTTGTGTGTGTGTGTGTGTGTGTGTGTGTGTG